ATATAATACACGTAAAATAGTGATGTTTGGCGGTAATCCTGCGCACCACAGATTGACAGGAAAGAAGCCACTACAGACTTTTAAACAAGAGTGATGCAAAGCATCAAATCGGCCGCAAAAAATTAAGGGTCCAACGAAAACACAAGATTTCCAAAGTATTTGAATTTCAAAACGCAACCTGAAGTTTAAAAAAAAACAAGATAAACGGAAATGGCAGTATACCACTTTACTCAATGTAAATTACTCAATCGAAATAAAGTTCACTAATTATGATTAATATGTTATGACATCAAAGAGAAACGTTTTTATATACCCACAATAGGTATGAAAAGAGATTTCAGATGACAAAAAAGATCGAATTAATTATTGCTAACTAATCGCTTTCTTATCATATTATCATATCTTACACACTCCCATTTTGGGGAGTACCTATTATAAACCCTTTTAATTAATTTATAAAGTAATGATTATCTGGTGAGAAGTGAAAATTAAATTGAAACATAACAACATCTAAGACTTTCATATATTTCAAAGCCAGTTTTAACATTTTACTCATAATTTTCAAATATTTAAAATACCATTTCGTTTCTCCATGTGCAATTTCTAACACAACTACAAATAGATAGGCGATAATGAGTACAGAAGACGATGAAATAATCATAATATCGTATACATATTGATTATATGAGATTTTTAACTTGGACATTTTCGGATCGTTACTCTTTGTAATTAAACAAAAATATACGAAAAACAGCCACAGGCAGTAGTAAATGGCAACCATTACAGACCGTCTAAAAAAAATTATAGACCACATGTCAAGCGACATATTACCATACCCCCCACCCCCCAAAAAAAAAATTCAGGATACATGGCCGTAGGAACCGGGGGATGGCCATGCCCCTCCCCCCACCCCCAGTAATTTTGCCGATATATAGTATACTATATATAAAAAAGCTATTATATGTTTGTGCCCCGTCAATAAAAACGTCTGATGCGCCCCCTTTTTTGCTTGTGAAGGAATTTTGGTAGTTGATAGTGCCCCCAACTGAAAATGTATGGGTGTGCCTCCCCCCCCCCCCCCCTCCAAACTGAAATTGCTACCTACGGGCCTGGGATCTATAATAAATTTATGCAATGACCGAGTCACGAAAAATCAATCGTTTTTAAATTAAATTTTTTATCAAGGAGATTGAAAACAAATGAAAACTGCTATTAAATTTATTTTTTTATACTATATATACAAGGACTAATATAATTGGCATTTTTATTTATTCACTTTACTACTTTCTTGTTTAAATGGCAGCAGTAATTGGTCGAACTGCCCCACGTATTTAATGAATGAGAGTGGGAATCCCGAAACCCCCCTCGATCCTCCCAATAACCCCAGTCTTTTTTTTTTATATATATATTTGTATATGTAATACATGTAGGTATGGAATTCCATAGCAGCATGCAACAATTAAGCTGCTTAGAATTAAATTAAGATGATATATATATATATATATATATATATATATATATATATATATATATATATATATATATATATTGAATTTTTGTAAGTGGCTGCTCTCTTTAAAGGAATTGATGAATGCACCATTGCAGAATTAATGGAATTTTGAATTTAATTGAAGACATCATCACCATTAGCCAAGCCTGGTTTGCCATCAGCACAACTCCTCAATTTTTTAAACAAATTAAAGAAAAATTATAAAATATATATTGTGTGCATTAAATGCATTATTGCTTTCTATAATTAATAGGGATGGCAATTTGTAACCGGTTAATCGATTAATCGGTCGTTCCGATGGTAATCGGTTAGAAATCCGATGGTAATCGGTTAGAAAATCTGCAATCGGTTAGTCGGAAAATTTAAGATATGTAATATTGAACGCATTTTTCTTCAATTTCATTTTAAAGAAAGGAAATCTCTGCATAAAAGTTGACAGTTCAGCGTTTTTACACATCTTATTAAGCTGATTTGGAGGTAATTATGGCTCTCCGGATTGAGATCGCGAGGTAATAGTTGATCAGTTTGTGAAGTATTAATTACTGTTTTTAAAAACATTATATTGGTACCCTGACCATCCCGTAATATTTTTGATTTTACATAATCTCCATTGAGCACTTTTAATGAGTATGTATACGTATCGATCTTTCGCCGTTCTCTATTATATTATTAGAAAAAAACATTGTATAAGTTAAAGTTCGGACAAAGTTTTGATTACTGTGACAATGAAGAATGAATTTGTGCGTCATCTGCACTGGAAAGATATCTTTCTGTGTCTCATTTCTCATGCAAGATTCATGGTTTTCTTATTTTTTTTCTTGTCTAACTATTGAAATTGAAATAAAATAGTTTATATGTACGTATAGTTTCCTGATCAAGATAATGAGCAGAATGTTTCTAACTTCTAACCACGTCTCTCTTTCAGTCTTCTTGTGTATATAAATACAAATACATAAAAAAAGTCAAAAATGTGTATTTTGATACGATACGACTAACCGGTTAATCGGTCGGAACGTCTTGCGGTTAACCGATTAGCAATTCTGTATTCGATTGCCATCGAATATATATAATTTATTATATAATTTATATATTTATATATATATATATATATATATATATATATATATATATATATATATATATATATATATATATATATATATATATATATAATTTATTAATTCTGTTATGGAATTTGTTAATTCATTGGAAAAAAGCAACAAATTCAATCATTGTGTGCAGATAACTCTGCAAATGAATTAATGTTATATATCAACAATTAATGAAGTAATTTGTAAATTAATTCAGAATTGAAAATTATCTTGAATACTTGAAGATATCTCTAATTGAACTGTTATGTAATGCATCAAATAATTTGATATCTTAAATTCAAAGGACTAATTTGAAAAAAAAAGATATATGTATCTTAATTAATTCAATTAATTGGCTACAATAGAAAGGAGGGGAAATAAAAGGAAGGAAAAAACCTCAATTTCATTTACCAGTACTGCACAAAGTAAAGATTAACAGTATATTTCAGTGTCAAGTTTGATTACTATAGATTTCCCAAAGTCATTGCAAAATACTCTCTCGGATCGCTGCAATACAGAGAACAAAAACCTGGATTTATGTTAGTTACTGTTTATTTGTTACCACATCATGAACATGAAGAATAATAGCAGTTATGTTTTATATTTGATAAGTATATAAAGTCCCATTAACATTTCAATACAAAACTCTCTAAGATGGCTGCAATGAAAAAAGTACTCAGATTTACATGTTATTCAATGTTGTTTATTTGTTGTCATAACTTGTGAAGATTTACATGAATATTGAATTTACATGTTATTACATGTATATGTATTTTGAAAAGAATATTTGAAAATAATGGCTACTGTTATACATATAACTCTGAAAAGATTTTAGGAAGCAGATGTCACTTATTATAAGTAGTACATCATACATTGTATATGAATTGAAATTTCAAAACAAATAGACATAAAACACACATATAATGAATTAAGATGACCAGTCTCTTCACTACATTTGATGCCTACATAAACGGTTATTAAAAACCCTTAAATTGCATTACAGAGCACCATGCAGGTTTAGGCCAGGTTTATTTTCCAAGAAATTAACATGCAAACAAAGCAGTTTTCATACAACATTGCATATTCATAACAAAATGCACATTTAAATGCATCCAAAAAAAAAAATAAGCCTCCTCTGCCGCCCAGGAAAAACCATATGTTAAAAACAAAATATTTCAAAATTTGAAAAAAAATGATGGAAACCTGTGAACCGCGGCAAAATGCAGAGTTAGCAAAAATTTGAGTGGCGGAACCTCACTCTATTTAATTATGAGACAATATTTTCAAGAATTAAGGGCTTTGCAATATAGACATAAATTTATATTGATAAAAAACTGGACTTCCTCAGCATAGTGTGCACTAGAAAGTGACCATTTGATAATACCCCTTTAATAATCGAATGTTTGCGCATGCGATATATTCTGAAATCTTTTTGGCTGTAGCCTAAATAACTAAAACGTAGTAACAAGACATTTCCGTAACATTGTTTACATGTTGTTTGGACAATTAATTTTTCCTAATACTACGTAACACAAAAAAATTGTTATACTGCACTCATCCTAAACTTTCCAATCAGTATTAAACACCAAAGGTTAGAGTATAATCACTGACATTAAAAACTTCCCAGGGAGAACATGGATAAAAATTCACACATGTATCCAAGGCAAAAAAGTAATGCAAGTCTAAGGGTGAATGCAAGACATACATTCATTTGATGGATTTATAAACTGGTCAATACTTCACCAATACTACACTGGTGTAACAAGGAAATTTACTGCTGGGGGTGATGATAGTACATAAGTTTTTTGGTTCAAAACATCAACAAAAGAAAGGAAAGAACAAAGGCTGGAAAATGCAATATCCTTCTCACAAGGTCACAGATCCTTCACATAAGGTCACAGATCCTTCAAGGTCAAAAATCCTTCACATAAGGTCACAGGTCCTTCACACAAGGTCACAGATCCTTCACATAAGGTCACAGATCCTTCACATAGCATCATAGATCCTTCACACAGGGTCAAAGATCCTTCACATAAGGTCACTGATCCTTCATGCAAGGTCATAGATCCTTCACATAATGTCACAAATCCTTCACACTTGATCACAAATCTTTCATATAAGGTCACAGATCTTTAACAAAAGGTCAGAGATCCTTCACACAAGGTTACAGATCCTTTATACAAGGCAACTGAACCTTTTCATAAGGTCACAGATATACTTCACAAAAGGTCAAAGTCCTTCACAAGGTCACAGATCTTTCATACAAGGTCACCAATTTTCACACTATATGTAGGTAACAGATCCTTCACATAAGGTCACAGATCCAAATACAAGGTCACAGATCCTTCACACTTGTTCAGAATAGAGTTTTATATCAATTCAACAACAAATGTCTCTCCTTTCATTTCTAACGATCCATAACTTGAATTTATTTTGATGTGTTGCCCAACTTTCTTTCTTCCACAGATATCAAGACAGCTCAGATGATTCATAGGATGTGTTCTATCAAATAAAAAAAATGTCGATTTAACAAATGAAAAGTAAAAAAAGTGATATTCTATAGACTTCAATACCTATGAAAATAAAAACAAGTAAGGTACTGTGTTTCAACAATATAAAATCAACCAATGCATTTGAGAAAACAATGCCAAATTCAGAGGTCCAAAGGTTTTTACAATCACATGAATGTCATTGAAATTTTTTCTGAGCCAAAGTTTGTTCTTTTTTCTAAACTTCTTTTTTCACAAAACTGGAATCAGCTTCATCAAGATTTAAAGGACAAAGATTTACACAAATTTCAATTTAACTATACTTGAGGGCATTTTTGTAGTAATTTGACAATTCGAAGCCTAATATTTCGGGGAGAGATTTCCATGAACTTTCTATACGTTCTCGAGAAAATATGACATTGTTAAAGTTTACAAAGAAAAGAATGATGACAACGCTGACAACAACAGACACATTTTGATCAGAAAAACTTGGCTCAGGTGAGCTAAAAAAGTCAGACAGTGCAAGATGTGCCATTGTGTCTTACATCATGTCTTGAATTGGTCACAGCCAATCCCTGAACTTTTGCTGGTAGGTAACTGTATGCTCTTCTTTTGAGAGTGAAAACCAGTCCAACCCTGTATGTATGAACAAAGAACATCTATAGGTCTAAGGAAAAAGGATGTTCTTGACACTTGGAGAGCTATAAGTCTTCAGAGAGCCAGAAGCACATCCACATATAAAATATTTTACCATCAATTCTTGAGTTGGCTGCTTTTGATCCCTCAAAAATTTTGCACACTTTCTGTCAGATGAAAGTCACCAGCTTGTCTCGGAATCTACACTAGCACTACACTAGATCTAACCCTGATCTATTAATAAAAAAATATCAAATAGTAAAAGAATTCCTTACACTTGTAAAGTGGAAAAAATGATGAAAATCAAAAGAACACTGGATTGGCACATCGCATCTTACCATCATCCTAGGGTTTACAGCAGTCTATCCCAAAACGGTCAGCACTCTTGCTTTCAGGCGAGATTTTTCTCTTAAGGATTCTGGATAGAGGTTTATCTTAAACTGCTCAATAAAAGTAGAGAAACAATCTCAATATAGTTTGGATGAGCCCACAAAAAATCTAGAGAGTACTGGCATTATGACATGAATCTTACCCTTTTGTCCATGGTTTGCCACAATCGATCCCTTATCTTAAAGCACCTGCTGACAAATAATGGAGTCGTATCTTACACTGGGATTGAAGCTTGCCAAACCATTCTCCTGCTAACACAAAAAGTAAGAACGGAGTAATACTATTACTTGCTGCATTTATCAAATTACAATTAAAGCGAGGGATTCAAAAGAGCAACTTGTTACTTACCACATTGGCCAATATTTTCTGCTGATTATAGCTGGGCAATGGACTCTCTATCTTCTGTTGACTGGACTTAGTACCTCTATGACCAATATCCCGACCTAAATCTTCTGAATCTTCCAATGATTGCTGCAGTTGAGTTCAAGACATACTTCTTCTCAATAAGGGATCTAGGTCAGCCAAGGTTCCTTCTGCTAGCAAAGAAAATAAACCAAGGGTCAAATGATTCACGAATACTGCAAACAAGGGTCAAAGGAATACCATAATAAACAATTTGCTATATAGCTCAATACCATTTACAATTTTGTCTCAAAAGCAAACCCAGCCCCCCTTTAATTTCCTATGACAATACAACTATTCTGATATGAATCTCACCCTTTAGTCTATTATTTGCCAAATTAAATTCCCTACTTCTAACCCACCCGCAGCTAATGAACTGGGTCCTCTTCTGCTCCTCGGGATGGGTCCTTCTCTTCTGCTTCTCTGGATGGTTCCTTCTCTTCTAATCCTTAAGATGGGTCGTTCTCTTCTGCTCATGGGAATTGGTCCACTTCTTCTGTTCCTTAGGATGGGTCGTTCTCCCTGCTATTCGGGTTGGGTCCTTCTCCTTTGCTCCTTAGGATGGGCCCTTCTCTATTGCCTCTTGGCTTAGGTCCTTCTCTTCTGCTCCTTGGAATTGATCCTTCTCTTCTGCATCCTGTCAGTGGAAGTCAAGAGGTCAAGGGATCCAGGCATCCTCCTATTAACACAGAGAGTCAGGATGTTACCCTAAATGTTTTGATCAACTTAGAAATAAAAACAACAGGGAATCAAAATTGCAACAAATGCAGTACGTTCTTACCACTCTGGCCAATGTTGGTTTCTGCTCATAGCTGGGCAATGCAGTCCTCTTCTTCTTCTGGCCGGCCAATGTCCTCTTCTGTCGTCGTCCCTCATCTGAACCCCTGAAAATATACAACTGACAAAAGATTAGTAAAAAATCAAAACAATTACAGAAACGAAATAGAAATTCACAAAACAATTGCAAAAATTGACAAAATTATAAACAAAAAAATTACAAAATTACTTGAAAAATAAGTTAGCAAAAGGGGACTGTTACTTTGGGAAAGGACCTAAGAGAGGTGAGAGTAGAGGAGGGGAAGGGAGATGGTTAGTCATGTTAGAGTAAGGAGGACAGAGGGATAAATGAAAAAAGCTTCTCTATCAGGCTCTCTGGCTGATGAACTGGGTCCTCTTCTGCTCTTTGGGATGGGTCCTTCTCTTCTGCATCCTGTCAGTGGAAGTCAAGAGGTCAAGGCCAAACCAGGTCAACATCAATTGACAAGTAAAAGATTCGGAAAGTTTGCAGCGAGCAGATCTCAAATCTTACCGCATCTTCCAACGATGACTGCAGTTGATTGGGAGGCGAGATTCGTCCACACCAGGGGCTGCAGATCATCCAAACCGCCTACTGCTGAAATAAAACAAAATGAAAGATGTCAAATGAATTTTAAGACTTCATTTCAACTGAACAATAGCCCAAGAAATCCGCACAAGATAGATTTCATCACATGAATCTTACCTTGTCTTCTCTGCTTGTCTGCAATTAATTCTCCGCCCTGCTCCCCACCCTCCTCCTGACAAACAAGGAAGTTGTTCCTAACATTGGGATCCAGGCATCCTCCTATTAACACAGAGAGTCAGGATGTTAAAGAAATACCCTAAATGTTTTGATCAACTTAGAAATAAAAACAACAGGGAATCAAAATTGCAACAAATGCAGTACGTTCTTACCACTCTGGCCAATGTTGGTTTCTGCTCATAGCTGGGCAATGCAGTCCTCTTCTTCTTTTGGCCGGCCAATGTCCTCTTCTGTCGTCGTCCCTCATCTGAACCCCTGAAAATATACAACTGACAAAAGATTAGTAAAAAATCAAAACAATTACAGAAACGAAATAGAAATTCACAAATCAATTGCAAAAATTGACAAAATTATAAACAAAAAAATTACAAAATTACTTGAAAAATAAGTTAGCAAAAGGGGACTGTTACTTTGGGAAAGGACCTAAGAGAGGTGAGAGTAGAGGAGGGGAAGGGAGATGGTTAGTCATGTTAGAGTAAGGAGGACAGAGGGATAAATGAAAAAAGCTTCTCTATCAGGCTCTCTGGCTGATGAACTGGGTCCTCTTCTGCTCTTTGGGATGGGTCCTTCTCTTCTGCATCCTGTCAGTGGAAGTCAAGAGGTCAAGGCCAAACCAGGTCAACATCAATTGACAAGTAAAAGATTCGGAAAGTTTGCAGCGAGCAGATCTCAAATCTTACCGCATCTTCAGACGATGACTGCAGTTAATTGGGAGGCGAGATTCGTCCACACCAGGGGCTGCAGATCATCCAAACCGCCTACTGCTGAAATAAAACAAAATGAAAGATGTCAAATGAATTTTAAGACTTCATTTCAACTGAACAATAGCCCAAGAAATCCGCACAAGATAGATTTCATCACATGAATCTTACCTTGTCTTCTCTGCTTGTCTGCAATTAATTCTCCGCCCTGCTCCCCACCCTCCTCCTGACAAACAAGGAAGTTGTTCCTAACATTGGGATCCAGGCATCCTCCTATTAACACAGAGAGTCAGGATGTTAAAGAAATACCCTAAATGTTTTGATCAACTTAGAAATAAAAACAACAGGGAATCAAAATTGCAACAAATGCAGTACGTTCTTACCACTCTGGCCAATGTTGGTTTCTGCTCATAGCTGGGCAATGCAGTCCTCTTCTTCTTTTGGCCGGCCAATGTCCTCTTCTGTCGTCGTCCCTCATCTGAACCCCTGAAAATATACAACTGACAAAAGATTAGTAAAAAATCAAAACAATTACAGAAACGAAATAGAAATTCACAAATCAATTGCAAAAATTGACAAAATTATAAACAAAAAAATTACAAAATTACTTGAAAAATAAGTTAGCAAAAGGGGACTGTTACTTTGGGAAAGGACCTAAGAGAGGTGAGAGTAGAGGAGGGGAAGGGAGATGGTTAGTCATGTTAGAGTAAGGAGGACAGAGGGATAAATGAAAAAAGCTTCTCTATCAGGCTCTCTGGCTGATGAACTGGGTCCTCTTCTGCTCTTTGGGATGGGTCCTTCTCTTCTGCATCCTGTCAGTGGAAGTCAAGAGGTCAAGGACAAACCAGGTCAACATCAATTGACAAGTAAAAGATTCGGAAAGTTTGCAGCGAGCAGATCTCAAATCTTACCGCATCTTCAGACGATGACTGCAGTTGATTGGGAGGCGAGATTCGTCCACACCAGGGGCTGCAGATCATCCAAACCGCCTACTGCTGAAATAAAACAAAATGAAAGATGTCAAATGAATTTTAAGACTTCATTTCAACTGAACAATAGCCCAAGAAATCCGCACAAGATAGATTTCATCACATGAATCCTACCTTGTCTTCTCTGCTTGTCTGCAATTAATTCTCCGCCCTGCTCCCCACCCTCCTCCTGACAAACAAGGAAGTTGTTCCTAACATTGGGATCCAGGCATCCTCCTATTAACACAGAGAGTCAGGATGTTAAAGAAATACCCTAAATGTTTTGATCAACTTAGAAATAAAAACAACAGGGAATCAAAATTGCAACAAATGCAGTACGTTCTTACCACTCTGGCCAATGTTGGTTTCTGCTCATAGCTGGGCAATGCAGTCCTCTTCTTCTTTTGGCCGGCCAATGTCCTCTTCTGTCGTCGTCCCTCATCTGAACCCCTGAAAATATACAACTGACAAAAGATTAGTAAAAAATCAAAACAATTACAGAAATGAAATAGAAATTCACAAATCAATTGCAAAAATTGACAAAATTATAAACAAAAAAATTACAAAATTACTTGAAAAATAAGTTAGCAAAAGGGGACTGTTACTTTGGGAAAGGACCTAAGAGAGGTGAGAGTAGAGGAGGGGAAGGGAGATGGTTAGTCATGTTAGAGTAAGGAGGACAGAGGGATAAATGAAAAAAAGCTTCTCTATCAGGCTCTCTGGCTGATGAACTGGGTCCTCTTCTGCTCTTTGGGATGGGTCCTTCTCTTCTGCATCCTGTCAGTGGAAGTCAAGAGGTCAAGGCCAAACCAGGTCAACATCAATTGACAAGTAAAAGATTCGGAAAGTTTGCAGCGAGCAGATCTCAAATCTTACCGCATCTTCAGACGATGACTGCAGTTGATTGGGAGGCGAGATTCGTCCACACCAGGGGCTGCAGATCATCCAAACCGCCTACTGCTGAAATAAAACAAAATGAAAGATGTCAAATGAATTTTAAGACTTCATTTCAACTGAACAATAGCCCAAGAAATCCGCACAAGATAGATTTCATCACATGAATCTTACCTTGTCTTCTCTGCTTGTCTGCAATTAATTCTCCGCCCTGCTCCCCACCCTCCTCCTGACAAACAAGGAAGTTGTTCCTAACATTGGGATCCAGGCATCCTCCTATTAACACAGAGAGTCA